CATGACTGCGAAGAATAGGAGGTATAGGTTATTGAAAAAAAGAATTGAGTAGAATGGTTTCCTCTTGGTTGACTTAGAGCAATTCTTTTAAGTACTATTAAGAGTGTGGGGTTATGAAGAGGAGTGGGTTACCACCGATTGTTAAATCCCAGTTAATTTTGTCAACACACACAATAACACCTGCATTAAGTAGAAGCCAACTCTAGTACATGTCAAGAGGACTTAGGCTGGAATCTTTGGTATGGACAGAGATTGTCTATGAAGGCTTGGTGGTGTTCTTTTTATTTATTACTACTAAGAACTCACTAAGAGAACAGTAATGATATCTTAATAAAGGTTCATAGGCATAATAATTACTATATGGTTAGTATCTCTTCTCTGTTGCTTGATATTATCTGTAAAGTATGAGAGGTACTTTAATATTTATATTCCTCATCTGAGTGTTCGTGGACTACTTCTCACTACTAGACAACTAAGTAACTTTCTTCAGTCTATATGCAATAGTCTTTGGTCTTAATAAGTGCAAACACTGTTTAACCTTGAATTCATTCACACCATCTTCATATTATTTAATAATAATATCATCATAGTTCAAAGATGCTCTTTTATCTTCCAACCAATGGTCTTCAATTTATGGAGTCGAATAGACCTTTTTCTGAAACTTTAGTCTATTTAACTATCATTCCAGTAGTCTCTTCGGAATACACAAAAGTGGCCAACTCATGTGTCAGGTAGCTATATATAATGCAGGCAGAATAGACAGCATGCTAACACTTTATGTCCACCACTGATTAGGTCTTCTGAGTCTGAGCAGCTTTTTCTCGGTCCACCTTGCCTTCAAGAGGATCACCTCTGAAAAGATCCTGTCTCCAGGATCAACCAACATTCAATAGCCTTCAGATAGGTATTAGTGTCAACTCTATCTCCTATATCCTCTGGGACACTGTAGGAATAGCGGTAGATTATCCCAACAAAAATATCCCATTTCTTTCAGCCCATAATTAGGATGCCTAACTTTGAAGCCTAGTAACTCAAACTGCTTTTAACAGATTTCCTCATCTCTACTTCTCAGAAGAACCCAGAGGTCTCTCCCTATATATTCTATGAAAAGCTTCTTGTTAGGCAGAAACAACTTGATAGACTTCAAGATTGTCTAGGCCAATCGAGATTCGTTTCTGTAGACGGAGATTGTCTAGGAAGGCTCAGACTTGGCTCGTTTCATTTATGACTACTAGGTACGGAGTAAAGTAAAGTAGGTAGAATCGTAAGAACAATATTATATTGTTAAGGTCTCTTCTCCGTTGCTTGATGATGTCTAAAGCTTGGGAGGCACTTCGATATTTATATTCCACGTCTGAGTGTTCGCGGACTACATCTATTTATCATACAACTATGTACTTCTTCAATCGTAATTCGCAACGTCGAGTTTTCTTCCAAGGTGCGAACACCAGTGGACCCTGAAAACCATCACACCCTCTTCGGTAATTATGATATTTCTTCTTAGGAAACGTACTGTCCCCAATAGTAATATCCCGATTAGCAGTATCTTTAGACTTCTGGCCTAGTCCTTAAGTCGAACTGAGTTGGCTCCAATTGTCTTCACCATTGATAAAATGATCAGTCTTATCCACGGCTATATCTGCAAAGGTGGTCGTCATTACCACCATCGTAGGTCATTTAATTCCAACCCTTTGTAACTCCATACCCAACCGATAGATTTTCTTTGGATGACTTCCTATTCACTCACAGGAAGCCACTCCACTAGACTGGTAATTAATCCCTCAATCAGCAACCTTTGGTTGCTCTCTGGGTTGTAGGTTTCAGTAACTATCGTAGTATTTGAGAATCACCCCATGACTACAACGTGTTCCGAAACCCAGTTACAACACTTCGTGATGTTCGTTGGCTTCTTTGGTAGTGTCTTTTAGAGTTCTAGACTCTTCTGGTGTATGCGATTGTATCAGTCTCTAGTAGAGGTCCTTTACTCTTTGATACCATCTCATTATGCGAAATCGTCCCATTACCTACGTCCCATGCCAAAGGTCTCATACCTTTGAAGCCTAGTAACTCTCTGAGTAGTTGACAGAACTACTCTGTTCCACTTCCCAGGCCTAGCCGAAGGTCCCCTCTCATATATCCTGCGAACAGGTTCCGGCCGGACAGACGGCGGCAACGTATACAGTATTATTCCAACACCTTCAATTCTGTAGTAATGTAGTCACAGGACGCAACTGAGATTGATATATGTGATGACGCGCGGGCTCCATAAGGGAGCCGGAGGGGGGTGTTGGAGACCAGAGATTCCGATTCCACGTGGGGTTACCCTACTTAGGGTGGTTCCTAGGTATTGGGTTCTGGTATTCCTAACACTTCTGTCCAGTCAGATTAATAGTAGTAACATATATGGTATTATGAAGTGAGCTTTATTGGAATAATATTAGAGTCATAGGACACAATTGTCTGAAATCTCACTAAGAATATGCAGGACTTATAAGGGGGCCAGAGGGGTATGTTAGCAGCTCTGATAATGAAAGTCTGTAAGCAGTTACCCTACTGAAAGGTCTGTGCTCTTCCATATACCTAACAGCCTGATACTTAAACTATTTTACCAAAAAGTATTGTTTAATATCTTTAATTATATTCATTCATGCTAGACATAAACAGGTTTCTGTATTTAAAGAATGCCTGATTCCACAATTGAAGAGGCAGACTTTAACAGACAGTATTTCAATACACTTGATTGAATGGTTACTTCTTTAATTTTCCCACTATACCTTTTGAAGCCTTCTTTAGTTTGCTGCTCTCACCTCGACTCTGGAAGACTAGGCCACCTGTTAACTATCATATCTTACCCAGAAACATGATTAGCATCTTGCAAACATGTTACAATAAAGAACATAGTGGGTATCTGAAGTATGTGAAAATAGATCAGGATGATCTAGAGAAGAATAAAAGGCAACCTGCTTTTATTTTATTAGCTATTGTTGTCTATTATTTAATTTGTCTAACCTTTTCCTCAGTTACCAATATTGGGTCAAATCAGCCTTTCCTTTCTTTTCATTTTCTTCTTTCTTCATAAGAATACTTTTCTGTTTAAGATATTCAATATTCAATTCAATTCTTACATTATTGTCTAGTCATAAATTTTCAGTCAATAGTATTCAATTGACTGCTATAAACCTTATCCTTGCAAAGAATGTACTAAATATATATATATATATATGAGAGTAGGTCATTTTTAGTGATAAACTTGAATACATGATAAAAAATTCCAAGAATCCAAAAAGGATTTATGTTTTTAGAACCTCTAATGAAAAGTAGAAAACATATTATATTCAACTTGAAGGTGTAAAAATGGACCTGGTATCAGATTAAGAGTTTTATATAGTCTTGTACTTGGAGGTAATATAAAAGTATTTTTATTTCTACATTTGAGAAGACAGTAAATTTATATATCTAAAGGTATATTCAGGTTTGAGAAAATCTTTTTCTAGATCCTTAGTAAGAAGTTGAAGACACAATTGGGGATTCTATTTTTCAGCAGGATAATACAAAATTACATTTTACAAGAAATACACTGGCTGGGGTGGAGGAAAACAATATGCAGGTTATGAAAAATTGCTAGCCTATTTACTTGACCTTAATCCTATTGAGCATTGTTATAAGAGGCTTAAGAAAAAGTTCCACAAATGCTTTCCTGATATCTACAAGGTATTCAAATTCTCTCTTAGAAGTTTGAGCAAATGATATTGAGGGGGAGTTTTTGGAGAAGCTTCAGGAATCTATACCTAAAAGTGTGATTGCTGTGCTGGAAAGGCAATACTATAATACACAAAATATTGAATATTCCTTCTTCAAAAACTACTTACAGTTTTACTAAATATATATATTTATAGAATCTGTATTTGAAATTTTATCTCTTTCAGTATTGTAGTTAGTAGTTCATAAAAAGATGATCGGGAATGTGTCATTGTTGCGTTGCCAGATCGAGTTTTTTGTCACCTGACTTTATCATACCGAGAAAGGAACCAACTCGTCAGGAGCCAATTGTCGAGTCAAGTGTTATTCCTCAATTGCTAAGAAGCACCCGCTGCCAGCATTCGCTACCAAATCCGGGTTCCCAGTACCAGTGCTCCCACATTTTAGATATTCACATAGAAAGTAATGTTCCCCGAATAAACCATTTCCACAATTAAATTCAAAACAGCCCTCTCTAAGATGAGACGTTCATAGTCTCGCAATACCGGTATTCCGGTGCGCCACAGACCATAGTATTGACCTCGGTCCGACAACTCCTACAGCGAGGCACCCTCATCCCATCCCACCCCCTATCAAACCCACCGCCAACTCACTCAACCCTCAACCTCAACAATGCCTCTTGCAGCGATCGCACAATTCACATCCACCAACATTCTCGCCCAGAATCTCAAAATATGCCAAAACTTCATACATACCGCAGCTTCCAAAGGCGCTGTAGCTCTCTTCCTCCCCGAAGCCTCGGATTACATTTCCAGCAGTGTGGAGGAGTCTCTCACTCTCTGCCAGCCCGTTGACACATCTCCGTTTGTCCTTGGCTTGCGGGAGGAAGCGAGGAAATGCGCTTTACGGGTTAGCGTTGGCATACACGAGCCTACAGGAGATGGGTTGAAAGAGAGGGTCCGGAACACGAGTATTTGGATCAATGAGCGTGGGGAGATAACACAGAGGTACCAAAAGGTGCATATTTTTGATGTAGACATTGAAGGAGGGCCAAGAATTCTTGAGAGTCGGTAGGTACCATAGTACTGCCAATTAGGAAGCGGGACAAGGAGTTGACAGACCTGGCGATTAGGAGTACGGAACCTGGAACTGTTCTGACACCGCCGTTTGATACACCTATTGGGAAATTAGGTCTATTGATCTGCTTCGACGTTCTCTTCCACCACACTATTTCCAAGAGTTGTAATGGCTAACCCTGGTAATAGCTTCGGTTCCCAGAAGTCTCGCTAGCCCTCCGACGACTGGGCGCCTCAGTTTTAACCTACCCCGCAGCATTCACAGTTCCAACTGGACAGGCACACTGGGAGACACTATTGCGTGCTCGGGCTATTGAAACACAGAGTTGGATTATCGCTGCAGCTCAGGTCGGTAAGCATAACGAGATGAGGAAGAGTTATGGACATGCGATGGTAGTAGACCCTTGGGGAAAAGTAGTTGCAGAGTGCTTGGAAGAAAAGGAGGATATATGCTTTGCCGAAATAGACAATCAAATGATAGCGAGGGTTAGGAGGGAAGTCCCGCTGAAGAGAAGATTGTCAGTTCCCCATTTATATTCAAATAAAAATTAATTGGTTAACAGATTTTGTAAAGCGATGTCTACCCAGAGGTTTAGAACATGTTAATAGGCAGGCGAGAGATGGGGGGGGGGGGGTGCTTGGGCTTCCTGTGACTTAGGTGTTGGAGCTATTAGTACGTACTGATGGAACAGGATATTTTCTTCCAAAATGGTTAAGCTTCATACTTTCCCAGGTCTGAGCAAGGCCACAGGGGCATAACAGTATTAGTAATCCTTTCCAACAGCAGTCTATCATGAACATAAAAACCCTGGAAGTCGGCCAGAATCCACAAGTCGGACATTGATTTTTTGATTTTTGATTTTCCTTCTTTTCTTTAATGCCAGGGGTAGGACTGGACGCCAACTTGAACGTAGCAGTATATTTAAGTTAAAAAAAGTCAATGAAAAGTAAATCTGTAAGGCATACACAATTCAATAATGGGGAAAGCAGCACAGTTGTCAAAATCAAAGGTAAGCCATGAGAAAAAGGAGTCAATTGGACAGGCGCTTACTGTACAGCCTAGGATTCATGGGACCCACAACCTGGTTTCCGAGATCTTGCATTTGATTTTGAGTGGCATCGTGGTCGCTGATTGGTAAATGACATAGATTTGTCTTAAAAAAATCTATAGCATCAGGAGCATATCTTTTCACAGATATCTCGGGATTTCCCGGAAATCTGGTAACTTTGGCCCGGGTTGCGCCAACACTCCCCAGTGGTTCCCTGGTCCACCAGGATTTGGCCACAGTTGAGAGAGTCTTGACCGGACTAACCCAGGCTCTTGAAAACCATGGGCAGACTGCCAGCTTGAGGCAGCAGCTCGCGGTGCTGTGTCTGCTCAAGTGTGAAAAGAAAAAGAGAAGAAAAAAAGAGAAGGTATTTTGTTAAACTGTACCGCACAATGTAAAGGGTAGGGGAAAAAAAGTCTGTGGTTGACAAATTGTCTTTCTCATAATATAAATTCCATACCAACTAAACAGAATTCCACCAGTCTGTCTACACCCGGTAAATGGTGGATTGCTTGCGAAATTAGTTCTAAACCAATCCGCAAAAATGGCCTGTGAAGGTTAACCCCACGTACTCACATCGGGAACAAGGATTTCTGTGCCAAAGCCCAAACAAATCCAGAGTACCCGGAAAGATCCCGTATCACCTTCGCCAGCGCCAGGCGAACGAAGCATGGTTTTCTCAAAATGAATTGTGTGTATTGTGGTCCAGTAACGACCTATTCCCGAATATCGGCTTCCCGGCACCGGAATTGACGTGAGGAATGCGTTGATTCGACGCGTCCGGCAGCCCCCATTTCTCTAGGTGCGTTCTTTTTTTTTTTTTGTTCCAAGACCGAAAGCAGAACCACTGTTCTCAGCTCACCACGAAATTTCACCAATCACCATTGTGCATCTAGTGATGGACACGAGCAGATAATGCTCGAGCAGGACCCCCCTGATCTACTCGCTATAGGGATCATGCTCAAATATGCGTGATCACTATCGACCACTCTGTCTACTCAGCGGAGAAAGAAGGTCTGTCCCCGACCTTCACTTATGCATCAGGAGAGACATTTGAGCCACCCTTCGCTCATGGCAACGGGTCACAGTTCTGAACCCCCTTCCCAGCGTGAAGGTAAAGGTCGGGGGCAGATATGTTTTTATTTTTGTTTAGATGATCACATCCCCGACACGAATAAGGTATAGTTTGTATCAGTTGACTTTGTGGTTAAAGCTAACAATCAGAAGGGAGCATAGCGATTTCAAAATCGATGTCAACAAGACCCTTGCAGAATTAAAATGAGCAATCGAAAAGGGATTTGGGGAGGTAAATACACAAGTCAGGGCGACATATGGGAACTAGAGAGCTGACACGGAGCAAACCCGCGCTGAAAGTCCCCTACTTAAACTGAGAAGACTCGTACTGAAACCGAAAAGACTCACACAGAAATTGAAAAGACCCATACCGAGATCCAAAAGATGCACGCCCAACTCCGCCCCCTCCATTGGCAAGTTAGTGTGCATATAGCTGGGTCCGGATTGGTTAGTGGAAGCTTCACCTACTTCTACCGTTCTATTCGGTCCTAATATATATCAGGTTGTCGCATACATCGTTGAAGAATACCTAAGAATGGAACTCTGTATTGAAAGAAAGCTGCCTTCCGAGTCCATAGATCTTCCGAGCCCCGGACCGGCGGACCCGTTCCCAAGCCCGCAGTTGCAGGGCCGGTCATTACTCGTTATCCAGGGCACCATGTCCCTCTTCATGGGGTTGGCCGGTCAACTCAGCGGTTATACGAGACTCTGTAGAACTACAAAATGAAGAAAGACGTGTAACCAATTTTGCAAAGATAAGATTCTGAATTGACCAATAGGAAACAGTATAAAGGAAAAACTAGGAAGAAGACCCAAAAACGAGTAACGCCAAAGGAGAAGCCATATAACCGTGTTTCCTGAGTATAGCGTCCAGTATTCCGTCGTCCGAGGTCTTGGTGGAGGCGCCGCTGCCCTTGCCCGGGGAGATCGTTAGCGCTGATAAGTCCCGATACGGCGATGAGGGCGCATATGGCCGAGGGCGGTGGGCGGGCAATAAAGAAGGCGAGCAGTAGGATGAATGGTGATCCTTGAGTTAGGAGGAGCTAGAAGGTGTGGTGGATGAAGCGGAAGATAGTGGATCCTCAGTCATGGAGCTATGACCCCGCGCTGCCCTAGCAACCGGATATACCTTTCTCCGCTTGGCTCCCCGACTCGGATGTCTCCTGGCTACGCTAACTACTTCCATATGCTTTGCCCAATTGGCTATTTTAAAATTTGACTCATATCTTTTTTTTGTTGTGGTCAATATCATTATTTGTAGTGGTAGTGCTGTTGCCGTGAGGGGTACGTAGACTTTTCAGACACGACTGTACCCCTGTAGTATTTGCCATCACAAGAGGATTTTACTTGTGCGACTATCCATATCACCTCCCTCAGACTTTCAACATTCACAACCCGCTCGAGCATAGATCGAGGGGATGCTAGTTCATTGTGGTGGCGGGTTGCGGTTGCAACGATGGACTAAACCTTTTATCCCCGTGCTTTTTAGCTAGGGGGGGGCTTGAACGGTATATAACCAGTGATCCCAAGCGGCCAGTCCGTCCCGCTTTGAGTAAGGCCGGACTGTGGAAAAGCGGCTTTTCCAAACCTAAGCCGGGCCCCGCCTCGGTCACATACAGGCCGATGTTTCAAGAGATCACTCGTTTTTCAATCCTAATAAATGTTGTAATATGACTTCCAAATATGTTTCGGTTACGTGTTTGATTATGACAGAATTTCTGTCACAGTTACCCGTATGAGTTCATTTGTAAATGAACTCATAGTCCTTATTACCTAGTTGGATTCGATAGAATTTCCTCGGAAACTCTATCATAATACTAGTTTGATTATCTCGCTCGCGTTTCCTTTCTTTTCACCGCTCGGCTATGTTGTATTATTGCTCTTGTTTTTTCCTTTTTCTCTCGTACGAGGTATATGTCGTAGGTGGCGGTAGCGTGCTCTCGAGTAGCATAAGTAGGGCCGGATAGCCCACCAGTAGAGCATTAATCAAGCAAGAAGTACAACTTCAATCAAGAAATACAACAATAAATATTTTGTCATTCAACAGGATTAATTCTTTACAAAGTCACCCGGTTAATACTACACATTCGCCCAAGCTAGTGAGAGAGTTGTGTGAAGAATGGTATAGAGTGTCTTGAGGTTGGACGGTATATTTGGGTATCATGGTAGTTCATCGGTGGATGACAATGATTCGTCTTAAGGGAGATATAGCGCCGGGGCCATGTTGCTACTATTATCCTATTCCAGGTGATTTAAAATGGAAAGCCTGCAGGCCGTCAATAGATACATTATCTTCAGATTACCTGGGCATCTAGCGGCTTTGACCTGAATTGCGCCAGGACTCGACCCGGCGGTTGCCTGGGCGCCGCCGGGCTTTGGCGGCTGCTGAGAATTTCGACCGGACTGACTCAGGCTTTTCAAAACCAAGGCCGGACTGACTGGACCGCCGACCCGTGGCCCTGACTATGGTCTGGACTGGCCGCTTCGGATCATTGTATATAACTCATACCCCAACTTGATGAATTAAGCAATTACGTGGAATGACAACCTCCACATCCCGCTTAATATCCGCAATAGTCAGTAGGGAGCTCACACTATGCTCTCCTACGTTTACTCAAGGGTCGTTTCTCAACTAGTTATGCGATCGTGAGAATGAGGTGGACACAAGTGATAAACTGTGAAGCTACAGTAATAATTTTTTGATAGCTTCTTTGATCTCGGACCTGCTGGGGTTAGTGTCTTGTGATCGTAGCGGTTTTTAATAACCCACGGTAAACTGATGGAAGTGGGGGGGGGAGTGGCATAATTGGTAAGGGGAAGTCAGAGACCTGCGATAACGTGCTTTCGAACGCAATGGATTGTTGCGCGGAAGCTGGGGGTTCAACTTCGTAGGCATGGCACACACATGGGAGGGAAATAAGAGCACTGTTCTAATCCCGTACAAATTCTAGGTGTATGAGAAAGCGTTGGGAACTTTGTTTGAGCGTTAAAATTCCCATAGCCGAGTACAACTGTTTCATCTATATATCAATCACTTGGGCCGCTCGCCGTTCTCCTGTCCCGGCCAGGCCGCTCAATTCGCCCCCACAGCTTCTACCTCCAACCCTCCAACTCCTCGACAACCTTAACTAGCTCTGCGTCTTCGCTGTGATTCCCCACTACATCGTACTCCTTCCTGGCAACTCGCCCCCCTCTCTCCCAAGCACCACCGCCCAGTACCTCGACTGCCCAAACCCCAGCGGCTCATCTTGGGGAGTGCGCACGAGAACGGCCACTCCACTGCCTTTCTCCCCATTTTTTCTCCAGCGGCATCCTTCCACCACCCCGCCAAACGCCCTTTCAACAAGCCCGTCATAATGTTGTTAAACACCGGCGCTCCACCGAAAACCAGTCCTATACTCGTGTCATGTAGAACATGCGAGAAGATTA